GTTCAAATTAAAAATATTACGTATTTTATTGAATTTCGTATTTAAATAAGATGATATATTTGATATTTAGGAATGAGTTATAAAGTGAATTTATTGTAATATGAACACAGATTAATAATTTTCAACAAATCTACACTTTTAATTTTGGGATAACACAATAATCCTAATTTCCTATCTTATGCTCTGAATTGATACTTCCATAGCTATTGATTAATTCTTCATAATTTTTTTAAACTAACAATTCATCAACTTCGTGCCTACTAATAAATTTAATTTATCTAGAACTTAACATATCAATTTTATTACTAAAATCCTATAAATCCTCTATTTTTTATGTAAATTGAATTGCATTTATTAATATCTATCTAACATCTAAATATTTATTAATTAATTTAGATTATTTTTAAAAAATTTTCTCATAGTTGAAGAAGTAATAAGGTTTTTGATATAAATATCTTTCAATTTCGAATCCCTCAATAATACATCCTTACTATCACCTTTCTTCTGATGATTTATAAAAAATCTTATCAAAAAACGTTTATATAGAATCGACTAGATGGATTAACATAAAAAATTCAATAAAGCCTTATAATTGTAAACTACCCACTTAACTTAGCATCAATATCCATTGAAGTTTAACAAGTGATAAAGCATACTTTTTGCTTAGCATCCAGATGTACTTCAATTTTAGCTAATGTAGTGGAAACTTAAAAATAAAGCACGCTATCAATAACTGTCTTTTAGTATTCAACATCCTCATGATACACTTTTCGAGGAAAAAATAGAAGGGATTGTATTCAAGGTAATATTAAAGAATATAAATTAATCTCAAGTATTAGTGGAAAATTTTTTGATAAAAAAAAATATTGATTCCTTATGGAATTCCCTTCAAACTTTAAGCATACCATTTTCCTAAGAGAATGACGAATTAAAGTATACTATTATTTATATATTAATTAAATCTAAATTAAACCCAAGATGAAAACAAAAAATTTCTTATTTTTTTTTAAACTGTCCTTAATATTAAGAAATTAATACTCATTAGTATTATTATTTTTTTAGAAAATGATGTGTATTTATCATTCTTAAAGTCCAATATCTTTGATTTGTGTAGCTCCTCATAAATGTTTAAGAAAACTTTGTGTGGAATGCTTATATGAGCATGGAGTAGATGTTAAACTTACAATTCCTATTTGTAAATTTAAAGAATTAATCACCAAGAATTTATAAGTGCATGAGCTTAATGGGATATATGAATTAAAGAAATTAAGGGAAGGTTTTAAAATCCTAATTTCTCAAACTGAAACTATTATTAAGAAATTTTGGGAAGATATAAAAGAATTAATTAAATCAATATTCGATAACATTGAGAAAGAAAATTAATCATTCATCAATCTTATCAACTAAAATGAAAATCTTGCAGAATCTTCATATACTGATTTGAACAATATAGTGTAAATTTTTGAAGGAAACATTCTAGATGATTGGAATAAATAAAAAAATTCTTATTTGATTAATATGATGTAAATTAAGAATTGGATAGAATAGGGTGCAAACACAATCAGTTAAAATTTTAAAGAAAAGATTAAGGAGGTAATGAAAATATTTAAGTAAAATAATTGATTTATAATTATAAAAAGGATTTAGAAAGATGAATCACTAGAATGGTAGGAAAGTATTACAGAATATGAAGGAATTGTTTGGGATTAAAATTCGATAGTTTCTAGAAAAAGAGTAAAATTTCAAGTAATCTAAACTAAAGAAAAAGAAATATAGTATGTAATGAATGGACTGTTATTGAGAAAGTAAAACTTAAGATTTATTAAATTAATAGAGATTAAATTTAAGACACTATAAATAAGCCTGAAATATTAATTAATTTAGAATAAATATAACATTTGAATTGGATTGGTGATTATGGAAAATAAAATTAAAAAATTGGAAAATGGACTGCAACTTGGAAAGGATTAAATTTAAGTGATGTAGGAGGATATTATTCTAATGAAGGAAAGAAATAAGGAAAATGGATTGAAATATTTTAGAATTATTGTGAGTTTGTTTAAGTTTATGAAGTAGGAGATTATGTAGATGGCTTTAAGAAAGGAACATGGAAGTATATCTATAAAGA